TGCGAACTCTGTCACCACTTTTATGTATCGGGTGGATAACAGCCACCTTGAAGGCACTTGGAAAAGTGCTTGTTTTGAAGGCAAGGTTACAGAGGAAAGTGATTGGGGGAATCAGAATACTTTTGAACTTTTTAATAAATGATGCAGATATACCATCATGACCCACAGCGCAGTCGCTCTTGAGGTTAATGATAGTACGTTCCACTTCATCCATATCTGTCTCCAGCATAACAAATGTGTTTGAATTGCTATAGTTGGCAGGGATTTCCTTGGTTATATCTGGATGAATCAAGATATTTTCGACCAGTGTGCGTCCAATGCTAGCAAAATAAGAGTTAATCTCATTGACCGAACTTTGGGGATCCAAGGAGTCCAAAAGATCATGGGTGTGCTGTTTTTGGGGATTCATGTACGTGATATCTTTGATAGCCATCCACAGTTTTTTATTATTGCGTTGTGAGTTTCGTATCAAAGACTTGTCATACTCGATTTTAGCCGTACTCAGAATCTTTTTACAAAAATTTCGGTATCTTGAGTAAGTGGTTTTAAGAATGTCGTTATTTGGAGACTTTTTTAGTTTTAAGTGCATTTGATCTCGATTTCTTAAACATCTGAGTAGTCCCGTTGTCATCCAGGGTTTTATTAATCTTTTACGGTTTGGTACGACTTTTAGTATGGTGTTTGCCAGAATTATGCTATTCAAAGAATTAATAAAATGACGTGTAGCTAGGTTAACATCAGTCATACCATACAGATTGGTGAAATCAATTTCCAGCAATTCTGATTCAATTTTATTATAGTCTATTTGTTTTATTGTTTTTACTGCATGATTATTTAAATTGGGCATACTGGGTTTTAAGAAGGTTAAAACGGAATCATGATCTGTGATGGACGTGTGAGCTACATAACAATACGCAGGGTATTTGGTTTTTAAAATTACATGGTCTAAGCAGGAGGAATTATTCCTTGTAAGTAATGTGTGTGCCGGGAGCATACCGTGAAAAGCTAACAAGTTAAGATACTCAATTGAACGGGGATCTTTAGTGTTTTCTGAAATATTGATATTTATATCACCTGTTATAATAATATTTTTGTAAGCTGATAGTGATGTCAAATGTTGATGTAGGGAATCTAAAAACGTGGTTATATTTTGATGGGCGGGGGGTCTGTAAATGGCAATGATCACAAAAACCTTATTTATAATTAAGGTTAGGCAGTTAGCTTCGTGCATAGTAGTGTTTAATATTACTACATTATGATGACTACGGAAATATACCACTACACCTTCATTTTGCGTACTGTGCTGCGTGGTATTGACGGTCGTATAACCAGGAAGATCTGGTATGGGAGGAGAGTTGTGTAGCCAGCACTCGGTCAAAATTATTAAATCCCATAAAATATTGCTTCTCACAAGAAGAGTATTAAAAGCATTGAAGTTCCGGTTTATGCTTCTAATATTTTGACAGAACAGAGACAATGTATTTTTATGTAGTCTGGATAGTTGGGCGGTATCCTCAATCCTACAGTAACCAGACTCCGCTACTGATAAGTCATCTAATTCCAAGTTAATCTCACTTAAGTCACCAAACTTTGATTATGAAATATACATAGCACAACTACTTGACATGTAAATTTAGTGCAGTGACACATTATGCTTAGTTTCATAGTCATTCTGATATTTAAGCAGAGAATAAATTTCATGTCCATAAGTTTTTGCTTGTTTTCTGTTAAATAGTTTTGAATGCAAACCATTTTTAAAGGAGTAATTAACATTGTTTTGATTACAGCTAAAAGCTTTACATATAAGTTGTAAGCGCCTATGTAAGTTGATGGCAGTTCATATAAGTTATCAGGATGAAATGTATATATGTGTAGGGTTAAGATTGTGTATATAATTATTATAATGTATATTGACATTTGATTTTTGATCACCAAAACGACCATATTCCTGATATGTATGTTTGTAAGAATATTTTGTTTATTGTCCGTGTATATGTAAAAAAGAGTAAGTGTGTTTTGTGTTAAATATATATACTTCGTGATATAAAAGGAGCGTGAAAACGAGTAGATTATATGTATGAGTGTGTATCGTTTAGAGAGTATAGTAGCGTTTTTATATGTTTTCATAAAATTGTTATTGTACTTAAAAATAAAATCTAATAAAAAAGAAGTTATGCTAAAATAAGTATATACTATTAAATTACAAAACATTCCAAGCATAGTATAGCCGAGGTTGAGAACTAGTTTTTTGACTTGAGGGCAGTTATATCGGAGTCCGAATCTATTCGAATACGCGGAGATTGGTCATCTTTCTTTAGATAAACCTGACCATATGAAGTCCAACAGTGTTTGTAACTATGAGTAGAGGCAAAGTCACGGGACAACGCGAACAGTCTTCCAGTTTTAGCACAGAGATTATGCGACACGTAAATAGGAGTTTTTGGGCCATTTAGATGTAAGTGTGTAGAGTTAAGTTTATCGTCTCTCTGTTTATTTTTGTTGAAGGCAATTATGGATTTAATTAATTTTTCTTTCTGTATAATGGAGTTGAATTCTGCAATAATAGTCTTGTTGCCAGTCTTTGAATTTATGCGGAAGGTGTCCTTGATATCGATCGGATGAATTTGAATATTTACAATTTTTCCCAGATCAATAACAGTATTTAGCAAGTCAGATTTTGTCTCCTTATCTTTTGCAGGAATGTTTTTTATTTCTATGCAACCGAAGCGGGATCGTTTTTCCAAAAAATCAATTTTTTCCTCCAACTGCTTAATATATTTCCGATCTTCCAGTCTCTCTCTTTCATTCTGCCTCAGCTCCTCGAGTACTTCGTCGTATTTGGCGGACATAAACTCAACGGACTCTTGGAGTTTGGAATTTTGACCAGATAGTTCCACTTTTGCAGAAACTAGGGCCACTGTATGAGCTTGTTGGCCAGCTTTCAATTCTTTAAATAATGTCAACATCTCCTTTTTAAAATCATCAAGTTGATCTTCGATGAGAATGTTGTGTTCTTCGTCACGCCTTCTTTTTAAACGTTGCGTTACAAATTCGGATAGTTGTATATCTACATTGCTAGTTATACTCAAATTAGGATCGGAGTAGCAGTGTTGAGATGTAGACAGCGCAGATGGCAGTTCCAGCGCTTGCGCGGGAGTCGCTGCGGTTAAAGGCACACTGGTCTCTTCGGGACGCGCAGGGGGTGGAGTTCTCTTTAAAGGCATTGTCTTGAAGCTTGAAGCAGTTACTAAGAAAGCAGCAAATAGCTAGTACCAGGCGCAAAATCCGTAAGTACTGCACAAGCACAATTTACCTAGTGTACAGCACAAAGCTTGGGGCGTGTGTACACTCTATTTGGTAATGGCCGCCAAATGCGTTGCGCGTGCGCCGTTCGTATTGGACGGGTAGCGGGTGTGGGAGGGTCGTTTTAGTGCGTGAGAAATATGGTTATCTCGCTCTATTTGGGACGGCTCTGCTCTAATCTGAATGCACTGACCTCTTCGCTGATTCTGCGCTCCTGGTATCTTGGTGAGTATTGCAGCACTATTATTTAATTTAATTTTTGGATAAAATCAATAAAATAAAAAGTTTTAAGCACACACGTCCGCACTGTACGGCGATCCGGGGGGAGAGGTCAGCGGGACCGCGCGGATGCGCGTTGGGAGGAGGGTGGCGGGGAAAGAGACGTATCGATGTGTCGTTACCGCTCATCCTGTCCTCCGCGATCCTGCCGGGGCTGCACGCTTTCGATGATGCAGTGGCGGCGGGGCCGCGGGGTAAGAGACGTGTCGGTGCTCCGCTCATCCTATCCTCCGCGGCCGAACGTGGGTGGTAGGCCCGTAGTGGGCGCTCCAAGGGACTCTCTTCGGAGAGTCCGCGCGAAAGCGCGTTCCACGTGTTGCGGCGGAGCCTGCCATCAGATCCGCCGCGGGGGCTGGGGGAGCAGCCACTGAACTTCACAGTTGAGTGGATGCTGTCCTGGCCCTCCATGGCCCCTGGGTAGCGGACTCGGGGTAGTTCGTATAATTCATAATAGAGGGGCCCGGGATGGAAGGCTCGTCTGGTGTTCGGCGAGCCTCAGATTCGGAGTCGGGGGACCGATGTGTCTCCCTTCTCGGGGAGGGGCTACTCAGGGTGCGGCCAGCCGCTGGTGGGGGCGCGGACGAGCGCAACAGCGTACCCGTACCCCCACCTACAGCGGAGAGGAGAAAAACTCCGAGGGTTTAGTGCGGTCGGGGTGCAGCCCAGTCCCACATAACCCCGGCTCTGCCCCCGCGGGGCCGGGGTATCTGTAAGCAGATTCCCGCGGATTAACAAAAAAATGATGATAAATTACAAAGGTTTCCACAAATAACTAAGGTGTCGAAATACTGCAGCGTAGATGTTGAAACCGCTGAATTGGTTTCCTTTAGCTACGTCCAGAGTTCAATGACATACAGCATAGGCCTCATTTCCGAAAATATAATTTATGTTAAAAAGCATAGCATTTTTTCACGAAAAATAGAGATACACATAATATTAACATATGGAATAAAAATATACTGCCTTCTAAAATAAAAATATACAACGTGTCTGTAGGTTATCCTACAATGATTATAAGTTACTAGTGTTAGAAAATGAATCACTATGAAAAAGACATTTCGCTCATTTGGTTGCTGACGCAATTGTACTTCTTGTAATGTTATAAGAAATGGTTTTAAATAGATTTTATAATTTTATTTAAAATTTATGATGTGTCAATAAAACTTTGTGTATTTTTACAATAAATAATAATAATAAATTTAAAATGCTGTCGATTTTTCTTGAAACGTAAACACTTGTTAGGTTAGAGATGTGTTAACATACTTAATGTTAACGTAGGTACTTAAAACCTTCGATTCACACATGAACATTCAATTTGTACAGGTGGGTGTTAAATTAGCAGCTTGCGGTGTGAAGATATCATACACACACATAAAAAAGGCCTAAGAGTAGATCCCTGTGGAAGCAAAATTACTTACTAGGTTGTTCAACTTCGCAAGCAGCCATCAAGTCCGCAATAGTGATACTGTTCCCTGTGATAAAGTCGGTGCCGCGTCCCAGCCACTTGGTATCAAAGTCTTGAAGCGCATTCTCCATGCGTCGAAAATATGATTCGACGGTTTTAGGGTTCGGTTGTGTCCCAGTTATTCTCGGATCCAAAAACTAATAAAATATGTAAAAATAAAAATACTTGTAAAAAATTTGCTTTACATGGAAATGGTACGGCCAAGAGCACATGAATCTTGTCACTTTAGAATTTGGGCCATTCTTATCATAAGTAGCAAGCATAAAGTTGAATTAAAATATTATGTCTCAAACTTGACGTGGTTTTGACCTTGGACGTTACTTAAATGTTACAATCATCCACATAAATAGATATTCCACAAAATGAATTGGTCTTTTACTATAAGTACCTCTCCTCTAGATCCTTCCATTTTCCTCTATGAATTAAAAATATTAGTATGAACATAAATTCACCGTTGTTCTGAAGTACATAGCGCAGTGTATTCTTAAGCCAACATGATGCCATGCTAAGAATTCATCTACACGAGCTCGCTGCTTGGTTTCCTTAGGAAATAGATTGTCGGGAATGATGTTCTCACGGGATAAGTATTTCATGATTGCCACACTGAAAATAGTCTTAAATTTAATATGTTAAAGCGGTAATGTGAAATTTTGTACAGAAAGCCTTACAAATTCAAGCAGCTAGATCTTACTTTTAATACATAAACTAAATATAAGGCTCTTAATAAAACAATAAATAAATTAATAAATAAAGGCTTGATGGCACTCATGGAGGTATGTACACACAACCACGTAACTCTACAGTGGATTAAAGGACACAGTGGCTCACGTGGCAACGACGCAGCAGACGAACTAGCTAGAAAAGTCCCTACATTACCAATGGTCAAGAACAACTATACTCAAAGGTGCAAAATCTTCTCATAATAGCATATGGACAACCCTTGCGGTTTGTAGACAGGCTAGGGAAGCACTCCCAACGCTCAACGCCAGTCTGTCTCGTAAATTAATCAAACTTGAAAGACAAGAGCTGCGCACTCTATCTGCCGCTCTAACGGGTCATGGTCCATACAATAAACACCTTTTCAATTTAGGTATCATGGACAGCCCTCTATGCAGAGCGTGCATGGAAGGGGAGGAAACGGCCACACACATCCTACTAGAGTGCTCCGGTGTGGCCAACTACAGGGCAAAGTACCTTGGAGTGCCGAGGTCGCTCCCCGAAGTCTTCAGAAAACCGAAGAGGCTGCTGAGGTTCCTGGAGGAGCTTGGGTGGCACGAGTAGGACCCTTCACCCACCACACTCAAAATAGGCGCCTCGAGATCGAGTTGCGGAAACTAGCCCGTTGCATCAATACCAATACCAAGGCTCTTAATACATGAGATACAGTAGCCAGAATCCCTTAGACCGCTGTTCCTTTAAGTGATGTAAAAAGTGCGCCTTTAAATTTTACTAACTAACCATTCCAAGGGTAAATCATTTCTCTAAGTCAAACCCAAGCACAATCATTGAACTCGAGTCAAATCATTACTGATAGGTACCGAATGCCCCTTTTTTTTTTTTTGATGGGGGAAATCTTTATGGATACCCCTGAGCCCAGGGAGACTCAGGGGTTATCTACCGAATGCCCCTGCCGTTGCGTCAGGTGCAAGAGTCGAATGAATATTAAATTGCAACTACTCAAAACTCCACTGATCATTCACTATGTCCATATCAAAATATCCCTGTCCCGTCATATTTACGGTATTTTATATGTCGTAAGAGGGCAAGGTGATCACTAACAAAACGTTGTATGGAATATTAGCAGATACTACAAATTAGTAAGTAACGATCATTCAAATCATTCGAATACGAAAATTAATAGGTTACTAATTTGTCATTGGAATGCATTGACTTACAAATAAATGGACGACGGGTCTAATACAAAAACCACGAAAAAAATGTCCCAAGTCAACCTATTCGAAATTTAAATTGTAATGTCATCGCAGTATCGCGCTGTCAGTCGAACAAATGAAGACTAAAGTGGAGTGTAGCGCTCTGTATACGATTTTAGCGCCTTACAGGTGCGGACACTTTTTAGCGCGGACCCGACGTCCATATAATTGTAAGTCAATGTTGGAATGGCAGGATTAGTAATTACTAACGAATCGAATATCGAAATCAATCGCAATCGCGCATCACTAGTCGTTCTAAATAGTATAGACTAATACATTTTTATTAAACGGAGATTGTCCTTCTCACCTTTCGGTCAAAATAAATCCATTATGATCGATTACTGGCACTCTTTGCATTCGGTTTATAGCCGTGAATTGATCACCATAATGCTCTCCTGCGAAAATTAACGAAATTAGACGAGGAAAGAAAGCAGCAGAATACTTTTTATATAACAAATTAAAAGACAAACCTTTTGCCAAGTTTACTAATGTCGGCATAAACTTATCATATTTAACGTGCTTCAGCAATATGTACAACGCCCTAGAAGGCTGAGACATAAGATCAACATACAATTTTAAACTCATTTTCAATGATTTTCAAAAACAAATCGAATTCTCAATTTAAAAACAGGTTATGTTATGATAAGATATGAACTTTCAATAAACTTTGACCAAAACTTTGCACCTACAACGACACTGGTCACAAAAGACTACAGAGTACTGAAGAACTGTCATGAAGTGGGTTTGGTATTGACAGTTCAGTCAAACTCTTTTTTTAACAGCAACGAAAAAAAAATGGCAATATCAAGTAGGATTAACCAATCAATCAGTTGATAGCGATTGGCTACCATTAATATTAATATTGAAATTTCTTAATTGATATTGAAATTTCTTGCTATGCTATACCTTTATAACTCAGCAATTAAAATATTGCAATAAATTAATTTATCGTATCTCGTCTTAATTTTGACACGGCGACATTATTTCTGAAAAGGACCATTCACACCATTGACTTACAATCAATGATTCACACTAAAAATCACAGTGTTGTGTGACATGTCTAAAATAAACTAAAAACATAAATATTACCTGTGCTGCCTGTATTTCTATTTTCACATGATAGACAATCAAAACCTTCTTTCATTCTCGCACGACTTACCATTCCTTTCCTGTACGTCTAGCGCACTCTGGGCAACAATCGGCAAATATCTTACGCATTATTAATGACAAATCCTTTCACCACGATATGACAAGCATTATATGGTATGCCATCGACAGGACACAACAAGACCGGTGTATTTTGCTTAAATAAAATCTTAACATCGCGATATAGACGTACAAACATAATTCAATGCCCTCTAGCGGCGTGGGAAGGGGCTATGTTTGTATTGCTCATAATGTGATTTTGTTCATGTGTATTGCAAATAAATAAATTGTAATAGTCGCTAAATATGAATTCGTATCCTATTTAAGTATGATAGTAATTTAAATCCATTTAAATCACAAGTTTTTAACAATCAGCATTTCAACGTCTATCTTGTATTTCTCCAATCTTATTGGTAGACACAATCATGTTTTATTTTTCTTGCATTCTTGACTAATTTTAAGTTTCTCGCGCTTAGGAGTCCGGAATAAATAAAACAATAAGAACCATAACTTGAAACCATTTTCACTATGATTTTAGAACAAATCTAGGCGCACGATTAAGAGCACAGAACTACAGAATACTACTCACAGGTAGCTCAGAACATTGTACTCACAAGGGAAGAGTACATCGAACATGACATTTTAAATTTAAATTCAACTGTAAATCCGCTTGATAAAAGAACGGTCCAATGTCCAAAGTACGTACTTGATGTGCTTTACACTATATCTTTACTAATTTTCTACGTAGATTCAGCTTTACCAAGATATGAATCTTGGTAAAGCCGAAGCAACCGTCATAAAATTTATTTTTCGTGTCGTGTCGTAGTCTTTGCGTTGTTGCATTCAATTAAAACGTTATATAACGCGTATTCAAGTCCTCGTTGAAGAATGCAATAACCAAACGCAGTTTTTTTAACTATGGTAACAATGTCATTTTAACGTCATTCAATAAAAGTGATGCATACATTGCCTTTCCATATTTATCGACTATTTGCATAACAATAGTATTAATGAAACAAAATTATGTCTCACGTATTTACATGGATGAATTTAACTCTATTGTTGAATAGAGTTAATGTTGTCGAAGTTAAAGCAAAGCCAATATTATCAAAGCCTCAGAAGATCTTACCAAACGACCAGAATTTGTATATATTCTTTAGGTTTAAAATCCAAATTGTCAAACTTCAACCAGAATTAAGTCACTTTACCCACAAATATTTATTTTATTGCATATATTTATAATCAAGCGATAATTATATCAAATTATTATGAAGTACTATCACTTTAACTCATTCTTACATAAAATGGTTTTATTCTGATTAACTTACACAATAAAGTGGTGTTTTACCATACCAAAAAGCCATACATTTCTTGGCTTTTATTATAGTTGTTGCATGACATTGGCATTTAATTCCTTCTTCGCTTTATATTAACAAATGAAAGTATTTACCTATTAAGTACAGGGTCAAGAGCACGTCAAGCTTGACACTTAAGATTTAAATCCAACTTTATGCCGCTTATGATAAGAACAGTCCAAAATACTATTAATATAAAGTATTTAAATTTGAAATAAAGATATAAATATTAGTATTATGTATATGTAATCAGAATCAATTAAAACTAAGCCATTGAAGAAGTTTGGGTCTTCTATGGTGCTAATGTCTTATTATTATGTGAACGCGTGGATTGCTGATCCTTAATTATATCGACAATTTTTAAATCGAGGGCCCATCACTAAACATATTTTTGGAACGACGCCGGAGACATTTTTCGATCCAAAGGACATTTTCAAATTATATATTTGTCGTTCTAAAACTACAACAATGGCGAATACAGATCTGTTAACACCGCATTTGCCCAAAATCAAAATACCTGCACCGAACCAGTTGATTTACAAGGATGAATGTGTTTATTCTTTTGACAATCCGGTGAGTCTGCGTTTTTTCTAACCTCAACTTTTGTTTTCTATTACCCTGGTACAAGTAAAACATATTATACGCCACTATTTAACAATTTAGGAAATTGACTGTATAATTTTTTCAATAAACTTAATGGCTAGAAGTTTTAATATTAAGGTTTTTTGTAATGTTTATCTATCCTTTGTCTAAAAGTGAAGCTAATGTAATAAAGGGCTTTGCTCCGACGATAAAGATAGGTAGATGAGCTTTATTGGAATTTGTTGTAAATGACAATTGGCCAGCATAAATTGAGCTCTATGCATAAAAAGTCTTTTTACACATATGGGTCTTGCTAAATGTGATTACTTTTACAAGTACCTTTGCACCAAATAAATTCGATACACAAACTTATATTCTAATTAACCTATATGTTTAATGCTGTTTAACAGTTCTAACAAGGTTGTTTATATATTATGCCAAGTTTCAAGTCTCTAATTTTGTACATTTTTATTTAATAAAAAAATATCTATATAATAATTAAATGAATGTCTAATACAGCTACAGGGGAGAAGATGGCTATAAAAAGTAACTAACACATATCAAATACAAAGCCTGTTGTAATTGTAAATCATATATATAATTGTATTATCGTGTAATGGCCCAAAATGATAACTTGATTATTTAATCCTGATGTGTCTGTAAAAATTTCAGCAAGAATTTTTTTAAATTTTAATTTCTTTTTTAAAATGTAGGTTGAGAACACATCTGCACTTTATGTACACTGTCTGACTTTAAGACACTACTATATTAAAATTGTTAGGGAGGTCTTGCATAATGAGTTTTCAATGGAAAGTTCAACTTCTTATTCATAATAAAATTTAACGCATTCGGAATGTGCAGTAAGTCAGAAATGAAATATTCTGGTTTGAGCACAATGCCTGAAAAATAGCCATATAATTTTCATTATAATATAATATGTGCTAGTACAAACAAATAAAAACATAAGTATAATAAAATAAGTGTGCACACCCATGTACATGTTACACCTGGTTTAGTCTGTCAAAGTGCAGTGCAGTGAGTGAATATTATAAAATACCTTCAATACTTGTATGCCTACTGTTTGGCCAGACACAGTGAAACTATATTTATTTTGTACTGACACTGACAAGGCTTCTATATAACCTGTATTTTGACAAATAAATGACTTACTATTATTATTAAAAGTAAAAAGTATTGAATAACAAACAATTGATACCTGTGCACTTAACACATTAATAAGACACTGTAATTTATTAAAAAAAAACTAACTTGCTAAAGGTAAACACTTATCACTATTCCAATTGAATAAATGGGAGTATTAGTTTACAACTGTATTCCCTCTAACCCAATTGACAAATCTTTAGAATTCCCGACAAAATTCATTAAACAGGTACTACAGCATTGTCCTTAAAATATTTAGTGTTCATGAAATTTTTAACGGCTTGATAAATGTTTGCTATAACATTAAATAAGGATGTCCTCAAACCATTCACAGAGTATGCGCAAAATATCAATGAGACAAATGTATCAAACATCACTGGAGTCCAAAATAATATATTATAGAGCAACTCTCTGCTTACATAGGTCTTTAAGCTTGGCCTATTAAGGTTCATTGTTTGTATTTTAGTCAGAATAATAGTAGACAATGTAATTGGTACGAAATAACTAACAACGGCCAAGAAAAACATGTAAAGAAGAAGATTTTTGTTCTCCAAATAACACAACCTCATGCATTTCTGATTAAATTTAGATCTACGAAACAACAATGGACTCGTTATATTCATGCTCATTATTGTATTATTTTTCAAATTTGCCACAATTTTGTATACATTGTTGATAACTTTATTTAATTGTTCTGAGTTATTATTTTTATTTACTTCGAATTCAAATGCTTCCAAATAGTTTGTCGATGTGGGTATATATTTACGAATTTCTAGTGTAAAATTTGTATAATTTTGTAAACAAGTTTCATTACTAACATCCAGCATAGCCATGCAAGAATCACTCTCAATGCGTAATTCACTCAATGGCATTAATTTTTCTTTTAAATTTACTGGATACATTGATAACACCATTAATATGGGTACAATCCATTGTAGTCCAACAACTATTATAGAAAAATACTTTTTCCAAAACAAAAATAAGCTTTTAATTTTGATTTTGCTTTCAACATTTTGTGAACCAACTTCCCGAACGGTGTTTTCTTCATTTTTCGCTTTTTCGTCTTGTAACATTTTATAATGCATATAGTTATCAATTAACAAACTTAAAAAGCTATTCACCAATGCTACAATAAGAGGTCCATATCCCATCAAAACAGCTTTAAAGTCACAATTCATACTATCTTGTCTTGATCTCAAGATATTACCAGATTTTTCCAAAACCTCATCTGTATTCATATTCACTGGACTAATTTCGGAAATGGCTCGAATCACAAAAGCTATCCCAACACATGTCAATAGCAGATTTTCTGAAAGCAACACTATTGAAAAGGATTCACTTTTCTTCAATACTCTTCTTAAATTCAACAAACTTAGAGCAAACCCGCTGAAAATTAAGAATGTTCCTAGATACACGTCTGGCGTCGACAACATTTTGTGCGCCTTTACAGAATGGGTTTTGATGATATTTTACTGTTAGTACCCCTATGATTTCGCATCCGCGCCAGTCGCTTCGTGCGTGATATGGACTTTTATCTGTATGCAAATTATAGGGGCACTTTTTAAGTCTTAAGTAAAATTAAAGTACAATTTTTTAGAAGCAAATAAAAATAACGTTTAAAGTAGAAAAGGAACTAGAATTTGAATTATTAGTACATTTTGGCGACTAATTTCATCTAAAGAGCAAACCTGTGCCCGGGAATGAATATACTTCTTTATAATAATAAATTATTTAATAAAGAATAACAATGACATTACAATTTACAAACAAAAAATGTTAGTTGTACAAGAAGAGAACAAATGCCATTTACAAATGATCCCTGAACTCCTGAACTAGGATATCCTGTATCTTAGAAGTTAGTGGTTCAATTTATAACGAGTATCTATTTTTTAGGAAAGAACTTATCTATATTAAAAGAATAGACCTACAATTGTAGTCTTATGGTATGTTAAGGCATTATGGATTCAATGGATTTGGACAGAATGTTTTTTCTCTCGATTGCTTTATCCCTAAAGCAATTGAAAAATTCAATTAAAATTAAATTAAACTTTTAAAAATTAAATTATATCACAGATGTCTCACAGATGGCGCTACGGCAAAATCGTTAAAAAATTAAAACAAACATTTGCAACAAGCACGTAGAAAAATTCGTAAGGTACACTGGTTCGTTCCGTGGCTCAAGTGGCATAGCGCCAGACACGGTTTGCTAGAAGACATTGGTTCGAATCCAATAATTTTTTCTGTGGTCGATCCTTATATTAATAATTAAATTATATTATTTTGTTTATCTACAAATTAAATTAACCTGAGTTTACTTTGTTTTTTTTTGCTTAAACTTAGTCAAAATTGGTTTTATAAAGCGCAGCCTTAGTCTCTCTGAGTAATTGGAAATAAGCACAAGTTTGAAAGAAACATTCGTTTCAGGAGTCGGAAACAGGCCTATACGTGTCCCTGACGTCGTTCCTCGGCTTCGGACGCAACTACGTGGAGCAGTACTTTCAAAAGACCGGCAACGCTGTCTACCTACACATACGCAGAGAAAAAAAACCCGTACGAATTAACTGTATTTAATTGGTTGAGTTAGGGCGCGTTCCCACTATATCGTCACGTTTTATTATCGTTGGACGACTGTCGTGTCTAGCCTGTTCCCATATCACGACTATCTGTCGTGGACGATTTTTTATCGTTTAACGACTGTCGTGACTAGCTCTTCCCACTAGATCGTGACGACAATAGGAGCTGCGACAATCTGTCGTCACGTTTTTATCGTGGCGTTTTTTTATCGTCTGACGACTGTCGTTCTAGCTGTTGACGACAGTTTGTCGTTGTAACGATAAAAAATCGTGAACGACAGTTAATCGTGTCGTGCTATATGTGAACAACTTCATTTAAATATACAAGCCACAACACTGTAAACTGCACGATAATCTGTCGTCACGACATAGTGGGAACGCGCCCTTACAGATTCTGACCAAAATTTATACATACACTTAAACACCAAAATTATCTATGGATCATGGTATTTTTTTTATATTTGATTAAATAAAAATAAAAATGTCTATAATAAATTTATTAAATTATTTATTTATTTATTAAATTATTCAATTAACAAAAAACCAATGGAGTTAATTTTTTTTTTTAAAAACCCGATTTTCAATAATTGGCAAAAACGTGCTTGATCCCTAGACACTTTTGATTAGTATTTGACTTCTCTTATTTTTAAACATCATCGCTTAAAGTATCTAGTTTGTAAGCAATATCGATATCTAGAAAAACGTACGTCATCGAGAACATCGTATATTGCGAAAGTTCCTTTAAAACGCATAGTAACGATTATGAGCGCTCGCTATCAAACATTTAATTTATGTTAATTTTTTATGAAAAATACTGATAAACATAACATTAAGTCGAGAAATAAAAGTAAACTGACTTCTTGACAAATTCGCGATGTAAAAACTGTAATGAAAAAAAAATACGTTAGTTACTAAAAGTTATTATAATAAAGCTTCTGCGTACTGATGACAAAAATCTATGGTAACCCGCTCTTCAGCTCTTGCAGGTTGTCTTTATCTATCATATTTACAAAGGTGTAAAGTAAATAACTCTAGGGGCTGCCACCTAGAGCTTTTTTACTAATTCTTTTCAGAGGCCGTAGGAATGATTAGTCGAGTTTAATCAATGTAACGATATCAAGTTTAATTTGCTTACTTATGAAATAAATATTATTAGAGTTTCAATTGTAGAACTTGTTTTCACCCACTGGCTCGCTATCGTTACTAATCGGTATACCCCGTATCTATACCCCAGCTTTCTAGTTAACGGCATATTAGCGACAACATAGTGATAATTTTCTAGATGCCAGAACCAGAAAAAACCGGGGATGGCCCAGAAAAGAAGATCACCCGGCTGGCGATCGGTGTGGAGGGCGGCTTCGACCCCGACTATGGCAAGCCTAAATACACTTACGTCGACCATTACACAATCGTGTTGCTGCCCGGCTTCCACACTTACAACTGGCCAGATACGGCCTTGCCGGAACAGGTGATTATTTACAGAATACATTTTTTGTTGTTTTAAATACAGTAAAGAACACAAATAGGAATTATAGACTTGTTTCAGGCACATTTGCCTTTGGTTTTATTGAGAAGGATATGATTTTTCATATGTGTTGAGGCATCGGTCTTTGTATGAATAAATCAAACTAGCGGAGTGTTTTCACAAAAGTTAGATCATGATAGTTAAAAAATTCATGGTATTCAATCAAAATTAAAAAATATGATCTTTTGTTTTTGCAAGATAAGGATTTTTTTATTGCCTTTGGTTTTATTGAGAAGGATATGATTATAGCCATATGTAGGTTGAGGCAACGGTCTTTGTATGGATAAATCAAACTAGCGGAGTATTTTCAGAAGAATTCAATCAAAATAAAAAATTATATGATCTTTTGTTTTTGCAAGATAAGGTTATTTTTTAATATTATTAATATCAATATTTTTTTAGAGATGAAACGGATAGTGATTTGGCCGAATACCGGATATCCGGTGAGAAACTAGGCCGGATAACCGGATAGCCAGCGGCCCGATATTTGGCTCACTATCGCAAAAATGTCCCGTACGGTTTACAGCGCGCATCGTCATGATTGATTGATTAGTTAATGATTGCACTTTCACATTGACGATTGGATTTGTTGTGGTCTCTGGTTTTTTTAATAAGATAAATTTATTCGATAATACAAACAAATACACAACACAAAAATGTCAACAGTAAGAAACATCGCCAATATGGTAATATTTTAATACCAGTGCTGTTTCTCTGCTGTGTAGAATGCAAACTTCTCGTGGTGGAGATGGAAAAAAAAATGATATAACTGCTTTTTTCCTTCATTAGAATTCATTCGAAATTAAATTTGTAGTTGTTATTTTATAAGTATGAAATAAACCTAAGAAGTATTTCCTCTGGGCGAGAAACTGACCAAGTCCGTATAAGTCTCTGAAAGGAGAGATACACCAGGGTATCATCCATTCCGCTGTCGGAGCACCTCCCTCCTGTACATAATCTACTTTAGCAAACTTGGAAGTCTCTAAATAGATTGCGGACCCAAGTCGGCCGAAGCAAGAAGAGCATGCGCAGGTAGGTTATAGCTGGGAGAGCGCATGTATTTGTGGTGTGTCTCCCCAGACTATGGCACATCTTGTCCTGCGTGCCCCTACGCTTGCACATGCGAGGACCTGTACAAAGCTATTGATAATGCTGTGTCAGTCGCTGTACTAGTCCTCACAAATATAAACGTCAGAGATGACACGCTGAGAAGATGAAGATATACCTAAGCCTAGCACTTGATACGTTCGTTACTCTTTTGTTTCAGTTTCATGTCATTAATTTGTTGTGTGTGATCTAACTAATCTAAAATGGTATAGTTTTGCCGAAAATAAAAAAAATCCTAAATTTTCTTACACTTTTCATTATTCATCTTTTCATCATTGTCGGTACACATTGTTTATACGAAAAAAGAAGATCGATTATTATTTGAAAACAGTTCGAATCAATCGTGATCTCGATCCTTTCATTTGGTGGTCTGGTAATATTAATAAGTGCCGAAATTTATCAAAGTTTGCAACAGTATTTAGCGAAAAGCTGTCCTGTGAAGCTGGTCTTGTTTATGAAAATAAACTGAACCGACTTTTACCACTTAATGCAGAAAAACTGGTCTTCATTCACCATAATTTGCGTTTATTGAAATTTGAGTACTAAATTTACAGTTTACTTTATAATTCTTTTCTGATACAAGTAATAAAGTGTAGTTGCTATTTGTCCTATTACTGTCCTCTTTAATCAATAAATAAATTTATTAGTCCTAATGATTCTGAATTTTTCTCAGTATAGGATATCCGGTATCCGGCCGGATATTGTTCTACCGGCGGAATAAGCGGGATATCGGATATCCATTTCATCTCTTTTTATACATTGATTTTCATAATAATTGTGATTATGCTGGGAAATAAACTTCAACCAATTTTTTTTAATTTTAATTAAGCACGTCGAGTTCTTAGATTTTCGAGATTGTTACAGATAGGAAATGAAACTATTTTTTCGAATTTAAATCGCGTATATTTGTTTGTTTGAATAAACAAATATATGTCATTTAAATTGGAAAAATTCATTTCCATTTTTAATTAAATAGATCAGGAAATCCGCGCAAGCCGTTATCGACGCGGAGTCACCGTTCAAAATAGCTGAAATGGCCGCTCTGCATGGCACTTGGGACGGTGAGAAGCGAGAAGTATCTGTGTGAGTACATAATTTTTTATTACACTACAATGGTAGGGTCTAGAACCTGCTTTATGGTATGGTGTGATGGGCTGGTGCCCGCAACTCAACTTCTATTTTAAATTTAATATTTATTTTTAAAGCTACATCACGTCACATTACAATGACGACTTCGGTGGCCTAACTACCTCCGTGACCGAACGGTTACCATGCCGGACTGCCACGCAGAGGTCCCAGGTTCGATTCCCGGGCCGGGAGAAATAGTTGTATGGCCTACAATTATTTCTCTCGTGAGTTTGGGTGTAATTTGTGGTTGTATATGCGTGTCCATGGCACCCGCGACACAGGGTTTCCCTAGTGCGGGGCTATGTTGAGTGTGTGCGTTATTTATTTATTATTTGGCCGCATCGCGCATATAACCAGAAATAGAGACGAAATGTCATTTGTTCAGTTGTTGGCGCACTATAGTATATAGTAAATAATACACTATTTCAGTTTTCTAATTTGTGATTTCAGTGCAAACGAGAGTTGATATTTAGAAGTGATGTAAGGCCCATATGCTTGATGAGTTACCAGGGGTGGATGGCCCTTATTTCGTCTCTATTTCTGGTTATATACTCGATTGTGGGCTAAGGGATGAGATCAATTTGGGAAATTAATGTCTCTAAATTGGTTCTGGCGTGGGTATTCAATCATACACAGCACCAGTGTTAGTTCCGTTGCTCTGGTACTCATAGTACAGGTATTATATAGGTAATGGCACAGTCGGCCGGAGTCAGGGATTCAGGTTCAATTATTATACGTTCTGTTGACTGCATACGGTGGTTGTGTCACACTGCCAATTTGATAGCGTTTCATGAGATTTGGCGTATAACATCTCGTTTCTGTTTTACCGGCAAATCTGCTGACACGTCTTCAGAAGTCCAAGAAACTCCTCCTCCTCCAAGAAAACGACTAAATACTTTTAGTTTTTATATTGCACTTCCTAGAACACCAGACCGGAACAAATTTAAAAAAGTTCTTTTTTACCAAATTGGTCTTACCGGGAATCGAATTCGGGATTTCCGCATTCAGCGCCTGCAGTGCAAACCGTTAGGCTACATAGGTTGTCAAATACAGCTGATCTTCGTTAAAACTGACTAGCTTACGTTTGTTTTCACTGGTTATATGTTGTTGTTATTTTGCAGGCACGCAGTGAATCTAAAGCAGTTGGACAACGGCGTGAAGATCCCTCCGTCCGGCTGGAAGTGCACCAAGTGCGACCTCACCACCAATCTATGGCTGAACCTGACCGATGGCTCCATCCTTTGTGGACGGCGGTTCTTCGACGGTTCGGGGGGAAATGATCATGCCGTCAGTATACCTAATTTATGAAACAACTTTCTGTATATTATTCTTTTTAGCTTTTGCTACATCATCACGCCTGTCTCCCATTGGTGTAAGCAGAGACATTGAACTTCCACACGACAAATCACTTTCGCTTGCTTCACTCACGTCAGTCACTTCACACTTGCCTGTTTATTGTTGGCACATTTAGCCAAAGCTTTTTTTAAGGACATTCCCAATCTTATCGAGATTGTACATCGAAGTACGCTCAACACGTTTCCGCCCACATTAGCTTTTTAACCGACTTGAAAATGGAGGAGGTTCTCAATTCGACTGTTTTTTTTTGTGTGTATTCCACCTCTAAGGGTGGCAGACTAGGGGTTGAATCCAGTTTCCCGCACTTTCCGGTAACCGATTTCAATAAAACTTGGCAAATAGATGTAATTCCACGAACTTTGGAGGTCGGGTTTTTTTTATTATAAAAAAGTTATTATTATAATTATTAATATAAAGATAAAGATTAATACACAGAACACTTAGAAAAAAATCCTTCAATCCGGCCGGATTCGAACCGACGTCTTCTAGGAAACACTGTCAGACGCTATGCCAACTAAGCCACGGAACGAGCCAGCGGACCTCACAAATTTTTCTATGTGCTTGTCGTATATTGCTTATATGTATATCTATGTTGACATAGTTTGCTGGAAGACGTCGGTTCGAATCCGGATCGAAGGAATTTTTTTCGAAGTGTTCGTTCTTGGTATTAATAATTATAACAAACTAGTGGAGTAATTTTACATAAAAAATAATTGAATATTAATTCAATAAAAATTTAAGTTATTATTATTTAGCTTTTTTACTTATCAAAGAAAAACAAAATAAACAAGTCTTTTAATACCAACATAACAGTATAAAGAACACTACCTTCAAAACCGGTTTCGAATACTGCGACTGCAATTATTTTAAACTACAGTAGCTCGATCTTACATATCGACAGTGAGCTGGCATGCAAAGTGAAGTACTTTAATTTCCAAGTTTATATTTTTTTTATTAGTTATTGTTTATTTCACTTCAGTTTCAAAAATTTAATTTTACAGGTGAAGAAAAAAATTGTTTGAGTCATTTATATAGAACCTGGTTTATTAATTAAAAATGCGTAGTTTTTAAATATTTTTATTACACATAATATGTATGTACACTGCGTATTTTTAAATGACGGTCCACGGTCACGAGTTGACTCGGAGCGTGCAACCGTTCCGAAATATCGGGAAAATAAAAAGAAGTCATACCGTGGTAAGAAACCTGATATTAGTGATAATCATTTAGTGAATAACCACAAAAGTCTTAAAATCTATTTTACGTAATTTTTATTTAATAAACCGGATGCTTTATAAATGACGCCAACAATTTTTTTTCTTCATCCTGTAAAGTTCTCAAAATTGAGATAGTACGTGTTGCCAGTGCACAGTCGATGCAACAATTTACAATGAAGACATACAGAAAAATACTGCCCTGCTTAGCATAACTAACTTAATAGACCTTTTTAGAGAAATTGAGTTATTAACATATTAGGGATCAGTAGAACGAGATTTACAATCAGCGTAGTTGACATTTTTTTATTTTTTTAGGTTACAATAAAACTTTAGGAAAATTACCAAAATTACTGAAGCTGTGGTAGCCTAAAGGTTTGACCTACTGCCTCTTAAGCAGAGGGTTGTGGGTTCGACCCCAAACTCGCACTGAGTTTCTCTGAATTTATATGCCAAAATTTAATTTGAAATTTACTATGAGCTTTTCGGTGAAGGAAAACATCGTGATGAAACCTGCACGTTGAAGAAGGTTCACAACTCAACTCACGGAAAACGTGTGAAGTCCCCAACCCGCATTGGGCCAGCGTGGCGGACTATGACCTAAACCTCGTCTGAAAGGCGACCCGTGCCCCAGCAGTGGGACGTATAAATGAGTTGATTATGAAAATTACCGAAATGCAAATGCGTTAGTTACACAGCGTTAGTTAGTTAGACAACGAGGGCAGAATAATAGAGTTGCAACGAATATTCGGCTACTATTCGGTATTCGGTATATTCGACCGAATACTTAAAAACTAAAGGAAGAAATAAAAAGACAGATATTTAATGAATGCTGAACATACATTGTAAATTCGCGAAAGCACAATGTTTCACTTTATCTAAAAGATGTAAATGTAAAAAAGGAAAAAGGAAATTAACATTATTAAGTTATTTTCTAAGAGACCGAAAAAGGTAACATATGAAATTAAAACTAGCTACTTAATATGTAGTTTACTCGTAACTAGTTAAAAGCCAACAAATTCAAAGTACTCATTATTTAAAAAAAGTACTTATTATTTGCAAAACCTAAACAAAATTAAATTTTTGAAACTGAAGTGAAATAAACAATAACTAATAAAAAAAATATAAACTTGGAAATTAAAGTACTTCCCTTTTCTGTTTAATTATATAAAATTATTATCATAAGTGAAATTAACAAGTGGTATTTTTCATGCCAATTTTAAAATATCGGCCACGCTCTTGGCCGGATTTTCGGACTAAGACCGAATATACTATTCGTTGCGACTCTAAACATAGTTTTGAAATAATACGAACATAAGAATACTAGATATTCGTTTAACAGGTGGAACATTTCCGCGAGACTGGCTATCCGCTGGCAGTGAAGCTGGGCACCATCACCGCGGACGGCAAGGGCGACGTATTCTCGTACGCAGAAGACGACATGGTCGAAGACCCCTTCCTGGCGGACCACCTCAAGCACTTCGGAATTAATGTGCAGCAACTACAAAAGGTGAGGATTAGTAGAAAGATTAGTAGAGTTATTAGTCATAAACAGATTCAACGTTATTAAATTTTATAATTCAAATATGGTCTTGACCCCGTACCTATTTGCTTAAAAACTAAAGCTTTAATATTAGGTTTATTGAATATCTCAATGTTTCACTATCATGATATTCAATTATTTATTGTTAAATCCCTTCTGGTTGATTGAAGAAAAGCTGTCATAGATTTCTCATAGATGGCCCTGCAAATATCTGCAACAAACACGTAGAAAAATACGTAAGGTCTGCTCAGTATCTCATGTATAGGAAAGTCGGGCATGGTATGCTGAAGGATTTTGTCGTAGTGTTCGATCTTTGTATTAATAATTGGATGTAGTTAACCAAAAAGGATCCAAGCCACAAAATTATCAAAAAAATGAGTTATGTGTGTGTACAAAACGGTTTCTAAATCCTAACTCTTAGATCATCCAAAACAATCCAACATACAAACGTATAATTATCTCTGGATTTACATGACATAACAAGTTTTCAAAATAAAACAAGAGTGAGAAACACTATTAAACTTAAAACTGCCATACTTCGAAAGTGACTAGATGTGGATTGGATCCTTTTTGTTTAACTACGTCCAATTATGACTTAAACTTCAAATTCAATTCTGTGCCACTTGCAATAAGAACGATCCAATGTGCATAGTGTTAAGCTTGATGTGCTCTTATAGTAAACATTACAAAACGGGGATCAACGCGATGAAACAATTTAATAGGTATTTACACACTTACCTATTATTAGTACCAGTAACTGCCAACTTCCCTATTTCTGCCGCCAAGCAGTAATGTCAGCATTACTGTGTTCCGGTTTTGAAGGGTAGGGGTGCTGGTGAAATTACAGGCACATGGGACTTGACAACTTATGTCACAGGGTGACAGGCGCAGTGGCAGTCCCCCCAGGTCTTTGCGATTTAAAGCTTGTGAGTGGCACTGCAGCTGTTATGGATAGGCGTGTAGCTACCGTCAGGCGCACGACTTGTTCGTCCTGTCACTTGATATTATAAAAAAATAAAAAATTTAGTAGCAGTAGAACTCGTTATGAAAGAGTTCGTCCAGAGACGTTGTGCCTTGTTAGAAAGTTGTTGAAAGATATAAATAAATAAGAAGGTAACAACCTTCTTATTTATTAACTGCCTCTGTGGCCTAACGGTTACCATGCCGGACTGCCACGCAGAGGTCCCAGGTTCGATTCCCGGGCCGGGAGAAATATTTGTATGACCTACATTTGTTTCTCTCGTGAGTTTGGGTGTAATTCGTGGTTGTCTATATGTGTGTCCATGGCACCCGCGACACAGGGTTTCCCTAGTGCGGGGCTATGTTGAGTGTGTGTGTTATTATTATTTATATCTTTTTTTATTTATTTTGTACTTCATTTTATTTTGATTGTAATTGCATTAAATATTCTAGTGTATGATCCATATTGGTCGAAATAAATTATTTATTCTTATTATCTATTCCTGCCGCCAAGCAGTAAATTATGATTCACATTAGACCGTGCCGACGCATCCGAGACTCGTACGTGCCGCACGATCTTAAACTAGACTGAGTTGGTCAGTAGGACGCGGTCTACGCTCGAATACGAACGTTGTGTTTTATCATATTATTTATATATATATATATAGTAACTGAAATGGACCATTTATATTCCAGACGGACAAGTCAATGGTGGAGTTAGAACTTGAGCTGAACCAACGCACTGGCGAGTGGAACACCCTGCAAGAATCTGGTAGCGACCTTCGGCCTCTCTATGGCCCCGCACTCACCGGACTCAATAACCTTGGCAACTCTTGCTATATCAACAGTGTGGTACAGGTAAGGTTCAAACTCGACATCCAGATAGAACGAAAAGACGAGACCGGATATTTGTAGACATCGAGTATATAACCAGAAATGGAGACGATATGTTTAATTTGTCTGAAAACTATTCTGCCAAATCATTACGGTGACAACTGCGCTCCGATTGGCTGACCCAAATTCCCCGTCAATTGTTTCACTTTAAATCGACCAGTTTAACTTGAGCTTTTCTATAATGGACGAAAATTGAATTTGTTTTGCAATTAGATGTTTTGCTTTTTTTCCCACATCACTTAATGGAACAGCCTATGGGGGACTGTGTGTGTCTGTACAATATACATTTTTTAAATGGCTTTAATTTCGTTTGTAAAAAAAATTATTCTGAAATAAAACCAGTCTCCCGTCTCTCGACCCGAGCAAAATGAACCGTATTTGTATGGGAAAAATTTTAATTCAGGCTGGCTAGTATCGACTCTTAACTGTTCTGTATCGGAGGTTTTTTAAATTTTAATTTAAGTCTTATATTTATTTGTGTGCAGGTGCTGTTCCGAATGCCAGATTTTGTGCGGCGGTTTGTTGAAGGCGCACCCGACATTTTCTCCACTTTCCCCGAAGACCCCGTCAATGATTTCAATGTACAGACGTGAGTTATAAATCATTACATTCATACAGATTATTTATTAACTTGGTGTTAATATACAGAACAATTTTTGTATTTATTTACTTTATTGCACACGAAACAGTACAAATGACGGACTTAATGCTAATAGTCATTCCCTGCCAGTGAACCGAAGATCAGGGCCCAGAATGACAAACGCTGCTTAACATGACAAGCTAAGATTAATAACAGATTGGATCAAAGTTTCTGAATAATTATGACACAAAATTTACAAACTTTTAAAAAAAGTACAGAGTACTAAAAAAACTGACCTCAAAAATCATTAATCATTAGTTTGCCTTCCTTAGAGGTGGAATATTTTCTTCAAATTTAAATGGGACCTCTTCTGACGTATCTTCTTTCCATCGTGTATATAACCAGAAATACAGACAAATTGTCATTTAATTTGTTTGAAAACTATTCTGCCAAATCATTACGGTGACAACTGCGCTCCTATTGACCAGCACGAATTCGAAACAATTGGCGGGTGTCATCAATTGTTTCACTTCAAATCGACCAGTTTAACTTGAGCTTTGTTATAATGGACGAAAACTGAAAAATTACATATTTAATTACCAATAAAATGTGATTATGTTTGTTTTGTAATTACATGTTTTGCTGGTTTTCCCACAGCACCGAATAGAACAGCCCCCATTGTTAGAGATTTTATCTTTATTATTATTAATATAATGTGACAAATAATTTATGAATTTTGTGTACTCCTTAATGGGATATATATTAGAAATTAAATTAATTATTTAAGTTTTTGTGAATGCGTAACACGTATTCTGTGGGTGTAGGCACCTTATGAAATAAATTAAAATATAAAAAACTTTTTTATGTGTTCTAGTGCAAAATTAGGCGTAGGTCTCCTGTCAGGACGCTACTCGTATTTGGACGAGGATGGATCGCAGGCAGGTGTATCGCCGCACATGTACCGCAACCTTGTGGGTCGGGACCACCCCGAGTTCATGACCAAGCGACAGCAGGACGCTCATGAGTTCTATCTACACATTCTTCTTTTGCTTGAGGTAAGTACTACAGTTTATAGTACATATCATCATCGACCATCGGTATTCGCAAATCTAGAAAACTCGGACCCACTTCGGGTGTCGCTTGTGCAAGTCCAATTCGAATCCGAGGAAATACGAATATCGCTTGTACGCCCAGTGATAAAATGATCCCTGTAACATTTCGGATCGTCATTTCTTGGATTCGGAACTGGGGGTCTACTCTCGATCTCCGTCCGAAACAATTACCGCCAAATAAGCAATACTTTACCAAATGAAAAGACGCGTGATGCGAATGAAGCTTCATTCTTGATACTTGTCTTTTAATTTTGTCGAATATTACTTATTTGACAGTAATTGTTTCGGACGGATGTCGGACGGAGATCGAGAGTAGACCCCCAGATACGAACCGGACGTAGTGTGCAAATGCGCTAAGGGTTTAAAGTAGAAGTTCCCAAACATTTTGTCTCTTAGACCATGTGCATCTTTTGTTTTTGATTTCTGTAGACCCCTGGTTTTCTAATATCAGATTTTTTTACAAATTCATTAACTTCAGATGTCTTTACTGACACTGTACTACTCACATCTCGAACTAATGTCAAAAATAGCATTTCAAAAAATGCTGCAAAATTTCTTTGTCATTTTTCATGTCAATAACATTAAAGATACATCTAACTTACTCTTTACATTAGATATTAAAGAATTCTACTATACTATAATTAATATTAACTTACAGTAGATTAGAAAACGAATAGATTTCTTTTGACGCAGGGTTTTGGTTTGACAAGATAGAATAACTTTACCTGTTCAGTGAGAAACTTCATAAAAGAACATTTTGTACAGTCAACAGCGATCCCGATTTGTTAACATCTGTCTTTTTTGAAGATGGAATAAAATGACATTTGTAGGGCTGCCTGTTTTCACAAAATTTTAAATAGTTATGTAGTTGTTGTCGATAGTTTTATCGATAAAACAATCTATATCATAGTTCCAAATACAGTATAATATGTATGTATAAACTTACAATGTAACAAATTTTTTTTTAATAATAATTCAAATGAACTTGTGCTCAGTCATTGGATGAATAATGGGTCTAGGATGATTCAAATGAAAGAAGTTGGGCTATTTATTCCATAAGCGTGACCGATATTCAGTCGATAGTCAATAGAATATTTATCAACTGCAATCAGTAGCCGATGCTCGCAAGTGGGCAGCAACACTTTAACGTAAGGAGTTGCCATTTTACTCTATCTTCAAAAAAGCTGGACTATGGTTGTCTTTGATAAAAACTACAATAAAACTTGTCGTGACTTTTGACGACCTCAATGGTCGAATGGCTTGTACACCGGTTTTCATGGTGTCGCCGTTTCTAAGGTCCCGCGTTCGATTGCCGACCGGGTCAATGTAGAAAAACTAACTTTTCTACAATTGTCTCGGATCTCAATGTTTGTGACATCGTCGTTGTTTCCGATTTCCAGTCAAGTGCTTTAGTCACCTACTTACTTTGGGACCAGAGCAACGTACGTGATGTTTTCTAATATTTGTTTGTTTTATTATTATTATTTATAAAAAAAATAAGACAATTTCGAGTTGCAAGTATTTTAAATTTTCGTGCATCTAACAATGCCTTTGTCACATTTTCGGCTTCCAAATGAAGCGCTCTTCAAGAGTTAAGACAGTCATTTTAGGTCGAACCTTTAACAAACAACTCAATGCAACCCGTATCTAACAGTGAAATGTACATAGGTTGATACAGTGACGTGGAAATTAAATATGAAATAATAATAATAATAATAACGCACACACTCAACATAGCCCCGCACTAGGGAAACCCTGTGTCGAGGGGGCCATGGACACACACATAAACAAACACAATTTACACCCAAACTCACGAGAGAAATAAATGTAGGCCATACAAATATTTCTCCCGGCCCGGGAATCGAACCTGGGACCTCTGCGTGGCAGTCCGACATGGTAACCGTTCGGCCATCGAGGCAGTTGAATAGTGAACAATGACGATGAAACGCCGGTGGGCATGGCGTAATGTAGAGTGGGCCGGCCGCCGCTGGAAGCCCCGCCTACTTCGTTAACGCCTCTGGAACCGGGAGTCTTTATTGCTACATACATACATAAGCTCACGCTCTTGTCCCACAGGAGGGGTAGGCAGAGACCGTGGAATGCCACCTTACTCTATATTGACACAACTTTCGAACCTCTTACTAACACCATCAACTCATCAACTACCCTTTTCATACAACTTCTTTTATTCTTAGGAAATGAAACTATTTTTCCGGATTTAAAACGCGTATATTTGTTTTTTCAAATAAACCTTCTTCTTTTATTCTTGTCACTTGGAATCCCAGCCTTTTTAAGGACATCACTTATCTGGTCAATGTAGGTCCTTCTGTGACATCCTCTTAAAACCCTTCCATCCACATTCGCATCATAAATCTGTTTGGAAATTCCTCTTACATCCATCCGCTCTATGTGCCCAACATTCAACCACCACCACCTCAACATTCCTTTCTGTATTCTAGTTGAGCTTTATTGGAGGACGGTTAACAAATTTACATTTGTGTTCTAGCGCCACAGCCGTCACAAACCGAACCCAGCTGACTGCCTGAAGTTCGCCGTTGAAGAACGCGTGCAATGCACCGTGTCCAACTGTGTACGCTACACGGCGCGCGCGGAGCACCACATGCCCCTGCCCGTGCCCGTTGCGGCCGCCACCAACGCCGCAGCCGTTAGGGAGTACGAGCAAAGGCGGGCGACTGCTGAAGCTTGTGGACAGAAGCTGTAAGCTGGAATTACTCACGCTTCAGAACACAAAAAAATAACACACATGTAATTTTGTTTAATTCGAAACTTTGCTCACACGTCACATAGAAATCAGTTTGACGACGGAAATTTGAAATGTCCTAAGAGTAATTGAAATGTCCATTTATTACGCACGAGACATAAACATATTATGTGATTTCTAGTGCTTTCTTTTTTTCTATTGTTTATTTGGTGTTTTTGATAATGTTTATCATTAACGTTTGTTACAACTTGCAGTGACCCGATGCTGGTGGTGCGCCCGCTCATCCCGTTCCAAGCGTGTCTCGAGAGCTTCATGAAGGAGGAGACGATCGAGCAGTTCTTCAGCTCCGCCGTCAACCAAAAGGTCACAGCCACCAAGTAAGGACAACTATATTTAGTGCACTCAACCAAATTCATAATTCGATTTCGTAATTAAAAAAAATAATTTAGTACAACTTTTCATTCTAAGTATTTTTGTGTAGAATCACACGGTTAGCGACGTTCCCAGACTACTTGTTAATCCAGCTCAAGAAATTTACTATTAAGGAGGACTGGACGCCAGCCAAGCTTGACGTCGCCGTCGAAATGCCCTGGGAAGTGAGTTATTGATGTCCATTTTTATAATAAAATATCGAATAATGAATATTAGACGCTACTACGGAAACTTTACTCCAGGTTGATCTAAGCTGCTTGCGAGGCCGAGGTCTGCAGCCCGACGAGAAGCCATTACCCGAGGCCTCTCCCGTCGCCGCTCCTGTTTACAACGAACAACTGCTCTCTCAGCTCGTATGTATCTAAAATGTTAAAATCGTCGGCTTATTGCAAGAAGTCATTAATTGCCATATATTTTATATGGCCGACGAAGTACTCTAAAAAAGTGTTCACGTATATGAGATACAAGTATGTAACGCCATCTATCGTCGAGTAGTAGAACTACATAACTAACTTAATTTCAGCTGGACATGGGATTCCCGGTGGAGGCGTGCAAGAAAGCGTTGTACTACACGAACAACTCTGGCATAGAGGCCGCCTCCAACTGGCTCATGGAGCACATGACCGACTGGGATTTTGATAAGAAATTTGAGCCACCTGGAACGCAATCCGGTAAAAAAAAATCATATATCGAGTGTTTAGAAGAATTCGTCAAGTATCTGTCCTAATTAGATTGCCTCCTTATTTTTTTTTTCTGTTTTAAGAGAGAAATTCCCTGTGATAACTGTATGGTACTCAACTGTAGGTGGTAGTGCAGCGTGTGCAGCGGTAGATGAAGCGAGCGTGGAGCAGATCATGAGCATGGGCTTCACTCGCGCGCAGGCCGGCCGTGCGCTGGCCAACACGCAGGGCGACGTGGGCCGCGCCGTGGACTGGATCTTCAGCCACGCCGACCAGCTGGACGAACCCGACGTCACTGCGCCACCGCCTAAGCCTGATCGCACTCTAGGCTGCCGCGACGGACCCGAGAGTGAGTACACTGCCCCACTTATTTACATAATTATACTCTCCAAATTAGATATCAATTTGTGACCGTCAGGATGGCTGGTCGCTTGTGGCGTCTGACACTGAGTGTATGTTCAAGAATTGCTACCCATTTGCTACCTTTTCTAAATAATTGCTATCTTTGATATATTCTGAGAAATTTAAAAAAATAATTGACTAGCCATTCTGAGATCAGGATGGCTGGTCGCCACTTTGTTCAGCAAGGAGGTAGCAGATTTTCCAGAAGTATGTGTTACAAATAATTGCTACCTATTTGCTTTTCTCGAATTAAAGGCATACGCTTACTATCTACATTAGGTAAAAAAATATAAATATAAATGGCTGGTCTATTATTTTTTTAATTTCTCAGAATATAACGAATTCAACAGTAGTGTTTCGTGCAATATTGTAATTAATGAGGTGCTAGCTTTAATACAGAACAAGCATAATGTCATGACATGTCATGTCATAGTCCATGGACTATGTCAGTTTAATGCTAATATGTATGACGGGTTTTTTGGCTGAAGCAGTGGAGCAGGCTAAGAAATTGCTATATGATTCTCCGGATGGAGGTGTCAAATATATATCGAGAAGAAAAGATAAGGTTGAGCATGATATTGAGGATATAATTAGGCTTATCAAGAATACTAGAACTGATAAATTACCGATATTTGTTGCTAAAGACCTGCACAAGTTGCCTCCGGTAAATTTTGAACATATAGATGTCACACGCCTATTGAAGGATATACTTAACTTGCAGGAACAGTCACGAGATATAAAGGAGAATTGTGCAACATGTAAACAGCTTGAGTTGCTAAAAAGTGAATTTCAGTATAGTAAAAATATCGAACACAACATAACAATTCAAAATGTAGTTGTTATCAAGGACGGGCAATCTAAAAAGTCGTATGCTGAATGTATACCTCAGGATGGAGTATGGAAAAATAAAAAACATGATGAAGAGTGGAAATTAGTCCAATATAGGCGTCATCGAAATAAATTTATTGGTAAAACGGGGAGTGCTACTACGACCCTGAATATGAAGTTTAAAGCGGCCATTGTAAAAGTACCGCTGTTTGTGTCAAAGGTGGATAATTCGGTTTCCGAGAATGACATTGCAGAATACATATTTGAAAAAACTCAACAACGAGTATATTTATCGAAGGTTGACATGAAAAGGGATAGAGGTTATCACTCGTATAAAGTTTTCGTGAATAAATCGAAGCTAAGAGCTTACCTTAATGATAAATTATGGCCCAGTGGTATAACTTTCAGACGTTTTGTTGTGTTTAAAAGCAAATCGGACGGAACTTACAAAATTAGTGATAATAAAATAAGTGTAGTTAAAACAATGACTGATGTGTGTAAAATGATAACGTTTAGTTGTAGGTGCCTAAAACGGTCGATAGACGGAATTAGATCACTTTGCAAAAGTGCGGATATAGTAACTCTGCAGGAGACGTGGCTCCTACCTTTTGACTTACCTCTTCTGAGTACAATTGATAGGGAATTTGGTTGGACTGGTAAGTCAGTGGTGAACGTGTCTCAAGGACTACTTAAGGGAAGACCTCACGGTGGTGTGGGGATCCTGTGGAAAAAATGCGTTCCAGGTGGTTACAGTAATAGAATGTAATAGCGATAGAATTGCGGTAATCGAAAACAATAATTGATGACAAATCGTTTTTGGTGGGTTCCGTCTGAAAGGGTTGTAACCTTAACAACCGTGATCAGGACCACGGCAGTAAAACATTAAACTTCTGGTCCACAAATTTATTTAACGAGAAGTAAAAGTAAAACTGTAAAGAAAAAAAATGTAACATATAAAAGGTAAATGAAGAAAAACAGCACATTAATAAAAAAAAACACTCCCTAACTTAAACCTAAAACTGGTAGATGTTAAATTTAGGCACTTACCCCTTATCGGGTTGTATTTATGTTGAATTACAGATAGACTGTTATTCGCTTATTATGGTCGATACATGATTTACATTGATTGTATTATGATTAAACTTCAAAAGAATTTTAAAAAATTGACAATTTGATTTAGTAGTATCCGCTATCGCAGTCAAGCAAGGAGTGACTGTCGAAAGAAATAAAGTCAGAATGCGAAGGAAATGGAACTATTCAAAATTTTAAATTTGAGTGATGAGTAGAACAAAAAAAACGATACGATACGAATGGAGAGAGGCAATACAAAAAGGTGGGATGACGATGTAAGGAGGTCACACCGTGTCACGTCTATATGCCTACGAATTCATACGATAATATGACAATGTTTACGGAGTGCTTAAGTATGTTATCTGCGGTTGTAGCAGACAATAGTGAAGTACAAGCAGTATATATACTAGGGACTTGAATGCTCATATTAATGAGCCATTTTACCGTGAGTTGATAGATTTTTGAACAGAACAACAATGGATATGTGCAGACATAGACAAAATTGGTCCAGGGGGTCTATTCTCGATCTCCGTCCGAAACAATTACTGCCAAATAAGCAATACTTGACCAAATGAAAAGACGCGTGATGCGAATGAAGCTTCATACTGGATACTTGTCTTTTAATTTTGTCGAGTATTACTTATTTGACAGTAATTGTTTCGGACGGATGTCGAACGGAGATCGAGAGTAGCCCCCCAGGTTCTGATACCTACACATATATCAGTGATGTATATGGGTGTAGGA